GTGAAACTATATAATATTCATCAACTCTCAAGGAGGAGATCATAATATTTCTAGCCTTCCAATCGTAGTTGTACTTTTTCTCATCTTCATCATTCCATTGTGCTTCAGACTTAGGCACAACAACGTTATTTTTACCAGTCATGATAATTTCCATAGGACCGTTCAATATAACGTTCCATACCTTTCTATCAATGGAATTGATATGCACGTGCATACAATCTTTCCAGTAACTATAGTTTTCACCGTTAAAAACAGATGCTCTATTGTAAGCCCCTTTTGGTTCGTTTGCCTTATTCTAAGAAGTTATATGCGAAGCACGAAATGAACTGGTGCTCTTGATACCACTTGTTAGACGACAAAAATGATCTAGAAGGGGGGAGGTTTGAACATATCACTTATTCTTAAATAGAGATGACGTTTATTATAAATTGATTTTTAGAGCTTTTAAGCGGAAGCAGTTGAGGAACTACGACCGTCTAAACGAATCGTTACCACAAAGATTGGGTATACGATACGCCTATATGGAATACCAATAAAGATGAGAAATCGAATCAAAAGTTTGAACACAAATCAATATGATTTTGTTCACTCAAAGTTGTTCAATTTCCAATGCTTGTGAAATATAAACACAAATTGAAAAACAACTCAAAATGTTTGTATTCAAGCAATTTGTCGAACACTTAGTGTACGAAGCACTCCAAGTAAAATTCACTAAGTAAATATAGTGTTAAGCTTTTTCGATTACAACCAAATAGATTGTAATTAGTTTTCTAAATGTGTTTCAGCATTACAATAAACTAGAATTTTAGTCAACCAATTTGATTGCACACAAACATAAAAATTTAGAAATGAAAAATAGCGAAAAGAGAGAACAACACCAATTTGTTGAGGAAGTTCCCTCGTCATCCTGGCTCGGGGTACGTCTTCCCTCAATTCTAAAAATATAATTGAGACTTGTATATAGAACTTGTTGCAAAATGTTTTTACATGAGAAGCAGTAGAAATTAAATACTCAATCCTAATCGTTGATGTTGAATCTATGCCTTCTCTTCCCTTGACTTAAGGTGAATTAAGTCCTTTGAATGTGATGAGTAAACCTCTGATTGCGACACCACCTTTGAACAACCCAACGGTCTTCAATTCTTTGCCCGACTGATTTTAAACACCCACAATTCGAACTCAAACCTTCCTTCCATAATCCTCCGGTTAACGTTACTAAATTGACAGAACTTCCCGTTCTTCAATTACCTTCGCTCAGCTGAACCTGTGAAGGAACGATTTGTGCAAAACCCCCCAAAATCTAAGATTCTTTGAGGGCAAAACCCTAACGGTTTTATTCAAGAAAAACCCACTGATCTCTCAACCCAAACCCGATACACCAATCCTATGTTTGGAAGTTATCACCCCAATGATGTAGAATGCACAACCAAAATGATTATGTGTATTTGTTGAGAAAATGCAAGAAAGAGGATGAGAGTAAAATCAGTGTATATTTTCACTTTTCTCGTCATTTTGTGAAGAATGAGCAAACATAATATATATGCAAAACTTTGACCAAATAACCAACATAACAGACACTTTGAAAGACAAATATAATAGAAAAATAGTGTGAAACGAGCGAACGATCGACCTAAAGAATAGGGGGTCGACCTGAGCTCTCCCGAATACAGAATTATGCAGAAAAAGACTCTTTGCGTCGACCGGAACAAGTTCATGCATCGACGCAAAGCAATCCAGTTTTGACAAATAGAAATACATACAATATGAGTCGATCGGAGGGTCGACACGAGCTCTCCTGAGAGCAAGTCACAAAAATTCACTCTGCATAAGTCGACCTAAGCAAGCTTTAAGTCGACTCAAAGACTCAGAACTTGCAAAAATGTTGACTTTGATATGTCTTGTTATTTCTAAGTGTTCCTAATGCATATCTAACTCAACCAACATGATCAAACTTACATAGAACACATGTAGTGCTTTTTCTATATGAATGGGCACATGTTTTTGATAAATGCTTGACACGAGAAAAATAATGAATGCATATGCGACTTGATGATACCGTCAAAAGTACACATTTCTAACTATATATGTTTTGACATTATTAAAACAAGTATTGAGATATCTTGCCCTCACAACTCCAATGTTCTTACTCATACTTTCGTGATTCTTGTTTACTTGCTCATGACTATCTTGAGTCACTTTCATAAATTGAGCTTGGGCTTCTTCAATTTGGGATAGTTTCCTTTGTTATGGTGCTTGAGGAACTTATGGAACACCTTGATTTGTATTCAGAGTTTGATTGTTGCTCCATTTGAAGTTAAGATGATCTTTCTAGACAGGATTTTATGTGTTGGAATAAGGATATTTATTGGAACAAAATTGGTTAATACCATATCCCATGGGTTTTGTTGATAACAAAGTAGTTATAGAACAATTGAGCTTTCTAACATCTGTTCAAGTTTGCAGAAATATAATCATTAAGAACAGATGAAGAAATGCTTAAGCAGTTTGCATCTGAATATCATACTCTAACTCTGAAGACCACTTTTGAAGACTTTGTCTCTGATGAAGATCTAGTCACTAAAGAAGTAAACTCTGAAGAAAGACAGTCTCTAGTGACCCGGACTCTTAAACTTCAGAAGGCAAGAAGTAGACTCTGATGTGATCAGCCTCTGAAGAATGAAGTCAGAAGAATGCTAACCTCTCAATCAGAAACTTTTCAACCGAGGCAACTCTGACAGACTCAGAACCTTTTGATCACGTGAAAACTTACGGAAAAATCTCTTCCTTGGTGCCTAAGCTTCAACGAATAATTCCTTTTGCAGAAATGTGTTTGTTGTGTGTCTAACCAAGTACAAATCTAATCCAATCTATTTGGTGAAAGTCTTCAACATCTCTTTTCTCCTTGTCTATAAAAGGAGTTGCAGACCTAAAGAAGAAGACTACCAAATTTTACTGAATACGCTACCACAAGACTCTGAACATTGACAATCAAAGAGAAGTTACTCTGTCAAATTTGTTAGACTTAGAACATCTTAACTCAAATCACTTGAAACGATTAAAAACACATGCAAATGCTTATAAAAATTGCATGATGACAGAGTGTCATCAGGGAGCGCGAGCATATACATAACTTTTTGCGATTTTTAAGCTAAAAATGTGCAATTCTCGCAAACTCACCCTACCTCGCCTTCATCTTTTTTTGAAACGGATCAAAATTTTAGTCTCGCACCCTCAATAATCGTCCCACCCTACTTCGTTTTTTGCAGACATTTGTAAGGTGGAGTTAAACGGAACGAACATGTCCGTTTTCCACCCCTAATATGCTAGGAGGAATTCTTCGAGATTTTAGGACCAAAAGATTCATTTGTAAAACATTTTTACTCTTTTCACCTGATATATTAAATTGAATCATGTGAAAAGTTTTCTACACTAACATTAAAATAAATTATTTTTTAAAATAATATTATCATTAAAATAAAATTAAAAAGTATCATTCTTTAGACCATTTTTAATTTAAGGTTTAATTGTTATAGATTAACAACAGTGTAAAAATATTTTACATTATTATCTAATAGAAATACATCATTTTGTCATGTCATATAATTAATTTGAAATTTTCAGTATGATTTAGCGGGATGTATGATCGTCATTAGTTAATAGTGTAAAATAAATTTACACTATCAGTGCATCACCCTTTTTTTCTTTAATTTAACTAAATTTCCATAACTTCTCCAAAACTAAAAATAAACTTACAATTTCAAAAAGATTAAGTACATGTTTTAGAATTTAATTGATATATATAGACAGTGTAAAGAATTTTTACACTACCAATTGATCATAATCACTAATTTAATTAAAAATTTAACTTTTATTTTAATCATTTAAAAAATAATATAAATAAATAATTGTGATATATTAACAGCATAAAATTTTTTCCACTGACAAATTAATTTCTATATGTATTTAAATTCCTTTCAAGCAATTTAAAATTTTCAAGATTTCAGTTGAAGCATTTTGTTTCATTCATTTACTTTAACTCAAAAGTTTACCTTCAAGTATTTTACCTTATGCATTTTCATCCATTATATTTAAATTTAAATTTCAAACATTTAAAGTTGATGTCATTTTACTTTTAAGTTTTTAAAACTTCAATGTATTTTTCATTCAAATTAAAGTCAAATGGCCTTAATCCTTGTTAAATAATTTCGTTATTAAAATCCAAATTTATTTATTTTTTAACTCAAAACTGCCATACACACACACGCGGCGGTCTATAAAGATCACAGATTTACGTTTTCTAATTTATTTAGTTTTCTTTGGACAAAACTCACCGTAAACAAAAGCCACTCATAATAAGTTTTATTTTACAAAATTAATTATAACTTTTAATTAGTGTGAAAACGATGCACATGAACGCTTCCAATATATTAAATTAACGCTATTATATCATACAACTCGATAAAATCCACCGCTTCAATTTCCATCTCAATTTGTATATGTTGCCGATAACAAATTAGGCCGCAAATAAATACCAATAAAAATGAAACTAGTAAAATTATTATACACAATATTATTCAGAATTTCAGCATATTAAAAACTAAAATCTACAATATCTGTTTGAACTTTTTTATATTTTTATAATTTTTATTGTTGTGACACGTGTATTCTTTGAGGTGTCAATATTTAATGAATTTTTTTAACACGTTTATATACTTCGTACAGACTGTAACTGATTAACACTACTCAATCTGGCATGTGTTCACGACTGAAAACAAATGAATAAAATTGTGTGTTTCTTAAGCATTGGTCGTTAGATTTGATAATGAGACATTGCCGTAGAAGGTAAAAAACCGACAATTGGTGCGGTCACCAACATTTTGCTATAAAAAAACCAATTCAGATCCTCAATTTTGTGATACAATAGTAACATATTTTGTTTTTGCTTTTTCTCTTGCTCTCAAGAAACAAAAAACCATACAATTCTCAACTTAAAATCGTATATGGCTACTTCACTTCCTTTCTTGCTTATCTTCATGCTTTCATTTTCAACCAACACCAAAGCTACATCGGTAGCAAAAGACGAAGTTCCATGCACAATGTGCATTGAATGCGACAATCCATGCCAACCTCTACCACCTCCACCTCCACAAGTGATTGAGTGTCCACCACCACCAGCACCAGTACCGCCGTCACCGCCTCCGCCGTCTCCTCCACTTCCACCAGCGATCGTTGAATGTCCGCCACCGCCGCCTCCAAAGTTACCGTGTCCAAGTAATTGTGAGTTTCTACCCTCGCCGCCACAATATTCATATTTTTCACCCGGGACACCATTTACGTACTATGTACCACCAGATTACGAGGACAAGAGTAGTGGTGAAACGATGATGCCATTTCAAGCAACACTCTTCTTGAATCCGAATCCACACTCTGTGTTCTCTATGATTCATCGGTGCTTGATTTATGTGGTCTTTCTTTGTGTTCCTTATTTTGTTTAGTTGTTGACTTTTGGTAAATGATTAATTTGGGTGTAATCTTGGTCCTTAAACTAATAGTTTTTTATGGGATCGAGTAGCTAGCTTTATTATGTTTAGTTAGTTTAGAAATAATATTCTTGCATGAGAATTTTGAATAAATAAAAGTCTACTAGTATTATTATTATTATTATTAAGATTGAGTTATTGTTACTTAAAATATATTTATTCAACAAATATATTCAAATTTAAGATTTGAGTGAGATCCTAAGAGTGTTGACAAATTAAATATGATTTAAGTTTTAATCCAATACAAGTTTTGGGAAGAGGATAAGATTCTTCCTCTACCAGCACACATTTGGAGAAGAATTAATTCATTTATACTTGATGGCATGTCATAAGGGAAAATAAAAAAAAATTGTGCTTCAAACTCACATTTTAAACCTCTATAAAAAGAGTTATCAAATATTTTCATAAAATACAAGTTTTGGAAAGATAAGATTCTTCCTCTACCAGCGCACATTCGGAGACGAATTAGTTGATTTATACTTAATAACGTATCATAAGGAAAAGAAATAAAAATAAATGTGTGATTCAAACTCACATTTTAAACTTCTATATAAAAGAGTTATTAAATATATTTTTTTTATAAAATGCATGTTGATTTGTAAAAGTTTCTCGATAAAAAAATAGATTTTAAAATTTTAAGATTTTTAAAACTTAAAAGTGTTTTAATTTAAGATTTTTAAAATTTAAAAGTGCTTTAAATATTTTAAGGAGAACATATTGTTGGGTTATTCTTCCTATTTAGAGTGGTTCAAATGAACGTAGGTTAGTAGTTCATGTGTGTGTAAGTTTTTTTTTATTATAAAACAAACAGAATTAGGTCAACAATTTATAAAGAATAATTGAGAGAAGAATGAAATTCTTGCAACCTCGATTTAGCACAATACAGTCCACGAGATCAGAGTTTTCTCACAATCCAACCGTTAGATCTTCATGATTTTTGGTGAAAGAGTTTATCACTCATAGAGGTACATTCTGAATGGTGGAGATTGGATTTTGAGCATTCTATGTCTGTCTGACGAGTCCACTTCTGAAGTGTAGTTTTTGTGGTTGTTTTGGTTAATTGTCTCTCTTGATTCTTGTTGTATTCCAAGATTGATTGTAGATCTTGATAATGTTGATGTATGTATCTAACTAGTGTTAGAGAGAATCTTGATTGTACTCATTGTTTGATTATAGTGGAGATTTAAGTGGCTTACGGGTCTCGTGGTTTTTTACTCCAAGTTAGCGGAGGTTTTCCACGCTAAAATTGTGTTGTGTTGTTTGATGTGTTTTATTGATTGTCGTTGCATTTGATATTTGGGATAGATTGTGTGTTAGATTATTTAGTTGCATTATGGGTTTCCTACCAATAAATTGTATCTAGATTTGTGGTTTGATTTGTGTAACGATGAACACGAACACATCTAGGATGGTGAGTTTGAACTAATCCAACTAATGTTTGGAAAGGGAAGATGTAAGATTTTCTTTATGTTAAAGGTTTTCACTTGCCCGTTTCCTATAATGAAAAACCCGACGGAAAAAGTGATGAACAATAGGCTTTGTTGCATAGACAAGTTTGTGGTTACATTCATCAATGGGTTGATGATAGTGTTTTAAATCATGTAAGCTCGGTGACTCATGTTCGCTCTCTTTGGACCAAACTTGAGAAGTTGTATACAAGAAAGACAAGGAATAATAAGTTGTTCTTATTCAAGCTATTGATGTCATTGAGGTATAGTGATGGTTAACCAATGATCGGTCACTTAAACATATTCCAAGGGATTCTAAATCAACTGTCGATGATGAATCTTATTTTTAATGATGAAATTCAAGGTTTGTGGCTTCTTAGTAATTTGCCTAATTCTTGGGAGACTTTTAGGACATCTTTTATCTAACTCTATTCTGAATGATATCATCTCGATGGACTTGGCTAAAAGTATTGCATTGAATGAGGATTTGAGGTGTAAGTCACAAGGTTTTTCTTCACATTCTGAGGTGTTGGTTACCAAATCGAGGGGGAGACATCAAAATAAAGGTTCAAGTAATCGTGGGACATCACGTGGTAAATCATAAGAATGCTGTAATAGATTCTCTAATATTGAGTGTCATTATTATGGGGAAAAGGGACACATAAAAAGGTATTGCCGGAAGTTGAAAAGGGTAAACAAGAAGAAGAACTATAACAACGACAAAAAGGAAGGTAACAATAATGAAGATGTTACTATTATTGATGATTTCTTTGTTGTTTGCGATAGTTGTATAGAGAATGTCAATCCATCATGTGATGAGATGGATTAGGTGGTTGGTACTGGTGCTTCTACTCATGCATTCTCAAGACATGGTCTTTTTTAAACTTATGAGGCAAATGACTTTAGGGTTGTTCGTATGTGAAATAATGGGCAAGCTAATGTCATTAGAATAGGAGATATTTGTGTTGAAACTAACAATGAGACTACTCTAGTTCTCAAAGGCGTGAAACACATTCTGGAACTTTAATTTAATCTTTTATCTATTGGAAAGTTGGATAATGAAGGATATGATAATTCTTTTACAGCCAATGAATGGAAGTTAAAGAAAGGCTCAATGGTGGTTGCTAAAGGAAAAAAAGGAATTCAAACTTGTATATCGTCCAACTTGGGGTTACGAAGTGATGCATCAAAAATTGTGACAATGATAGCTCATCCTAATTATGGCATAAGAATTTGGGTCATGTGAGTGAAAAAGGTTTGAGAATTTTGGCAAAGAAGAATGTGTTGTATGGTCTTTTCGATGAAAAATTGAGAAAGTGTTTGCATTGTTTGGCGGGTAAGCAAAGGCGGGCTTCCTTTATGTCATCTGAACCAAAGAGGAAATCAGAAGTGTTGATTTTAGTATATTCTGATGTGTATGGTATGATGAGGACACGATCTCTTGGTGGTGCATATTACTTTGTGACTTTCATTGATGATTATTCTCAGAAAATATGGGCTTATATCTTGAAGACGAATGATTAAATGTTAGATACCTTCAAGTCGTTTCAAGAATCGGTTGAAAAAGAAACAGGGAAAAAGCTTAAGTGTATCTGAACCGATAACGGGGGAGAGTATATTGAACCTTTCGACAAGTATTGTCAAGATCAAGGTATATGTCATCAAAATTCTCCTCTAAAGACACCATAATTGAATTGGTTAGCAAAAAGAATGAATAAAACTTTGGTGGAAAGCGTAAGATGTTTACTTTCTTAATCAACGTTGCCGAAATACTTTCGGGGAGAAGCATTAAGCGTGGTTTGTACATATTTTAAACCTAACTCCAAATGTTCTATTGAATTTTGATGTTCCAAATCATGTTTGCAGTGGTAAAGATGTTTCCTACTACCATCTTTGGGTGTTTGGGTGCATGGCTCATGTGCATATTCCAAAGGATGGGATATCGAAATTGGATGAGAAGTCGAAGAAATGCGTGTTTGTTGGGTATGTTCTTGATGAGTTTAGGTATCGATTCTTTAATTTGATTCAGCAGAAGCTTATTTGTAATTGTGATGTCATATTCATGGGGGATTATACCATTGGGGACATCGATAAAGTTGAAAATAAATATCTCATTTTTGAAGGTGAAGAAGTGGTTGATATGGACTCAACTACTATTACTCCCACCCCTAACACTTTCAAAGATGTTCCAATTGAAAAACAATGTATGTATTTGAATGTTGATAATGTTTTAAATCCTAATGATATTGTTGATGTAGGTGCTACAGAAGACGATGTTCAAAATGAGGTTGATCAAGAGGTTGAAAGTGTTGAGCAACTGGTTGTTTCTAATGAGTTGAGGTGGTATACTCACGATAAAAGTACTTTTGTTTGATACCCCCTTAAACGAGTACGTTTTTCTTACCGATGATGGAGAACCCGAAAGCTTTGAAGATGTTTTGGAGGATGATAAAAAAAGGAGTGGATGGATTTCATGGAGGATGAAATGCAATCACTTCGTGAGAATAATACTCCCTTCATTTTTTATTATAAGTCTTTTTTGACTTTTCACATGTATTAAGAAATGTAATAAATGTGGTATGGAAAAGAGAAATTAAGAAGGGTTTTACAAAACTGTCCTTCATTAATGATACTGGAAAGACAAATTTACATATTGAAAGAAGAGAGAATATTAAATATTTAAGGGTATAACAGGAAAAATAACGTTAATGATTCATTGGTATTATAAAACGACTTAGATTATGGTACAAAATATTTTCCCAAAGCGACTTATAATAAAAAATGGAGGTAATACCTTTGAGTTAGTGAAGTTGCTAAAGGTTAAGAGAGCATTGAAGAATAGATAAGTTTATCGAATTAAGAAATATGAACGTACTTCTCAAAGAAGATACAAGGCTCGCTTGGTGGTAGAAGGTTTTAAATAACAGAAATATATTGACTTTGGCGATATTTTTGCTCCGGTTGTAAATATGCAATCTATTTGAGTGGTTCTTGGGCTAGTCATTAGTCTTGATTTGGAAGTAGAGCAAATGGACGTGAAGACAGCTTTCCTTCACGGTGATCTACATGAAGAAATTTACATGGAGCAACCAGATGGATTTCGAAAGAAGGGAAAATAAGACTATGTTTGCAAATTGGTAAAAAAGTCTTTATGATTTGAAACAAGCACCTCACCAATAGTATCAAAAGTTCAACTCGGTGATGATTGAACATGGGTACAAGATGACCAAGGCCGATCATTGTGTGTTTTTCTGGAATTTCTCCAAATTTTATTTCATTATTCTCTTACTTTATGTGGATGATGGGCTAATTGTTGGAAAGGATATTTCAAGAATTAAAGAATTGAAGAAAACTTTGACTAAATATTTTGTTATGAAGGATTTAGGAGAGGCTCGAAAAATTCTTAGTATTGAAATTGTTCGAGATCAAAATGAGAAGAATTCGTACTTGTCACAAGAAATGTATGTGGAGAAAGTCCTTCGGCTTTTAAATATGAATAAGGCTAAA